GACCACGACGCCGCCGCCGCGGGCTTTCGGCCGCTGTCGTCGGCGGCCTTCGCCAGCCGTCGTCGGCCTTCGGAGGCTCGGGCAGCCTCGCGGAGGCCGTGTACTGGTCGTCGCCGCCGTCCTGACCGCCGTCTTGGCCGCCGTCGCTGTCGCCGCCTCGTCGGCCCCCGCGTGCTCGTGCTCGGCGCGGCCTTCGGCCCTGTCCTCGGCACGCTCTCCGTCGCGTCGCCGCCCGTAGCCGCCTCCGCCGCCCGTAGGCGTCGTAGTCGCTGCCGCCGCCGCCATCGCGGCCGCCGCCGCCGCTGCCGCCGCCGCCGCTGCCGCTGTCGCTGCCGCCGCCGCCAACGCCGCCGCTGCGGCCGCCGCCGCCGCTGCCGCCGGCGTCGTCGTCGTTGATGTCGTCGTCGTCGTCGTCGTCGTCGTCGTCGTCGTCGTCGTCGTCGTCGCCGCCCTCGCCGCTCCAGCCGCCGCCTTCCTCGCCCTCGCCCTCCCCCTCCGCCTCCATCCCGCTCCTCGCCAAGACCCACTTCAGGCATGCGGCATGGGATCCTCAGCGCTCCTTTCCTTTCGATCCCCCGAGGTGCGACATCATCGTCGTGCTCGTTCTCCTTGTCGTCCTTCCACCGTTTTCCTCCTGATAGTCCACCAGGCAGACTCCTCCTGCTCTTTGCTCTCCTCTACGTCGCCCCCTTCCTTCCTATCTCCTCCTATCCCCTTCGCTCTTCCCCCTTGCTCCTCCTGCTCTTCTTTGCTTGGCGCTCCTCTTCCCCCGCTGGGCGGACCACCTTCTCGCCCTGCTATCCCTCTCCTGCTCCGCTCTCGTCCTTCCCGCCTCCTGCAATTCTCCCCCCCGCCGTTTCCTCCTCCTCCTCCTCCTCCTTCTCCTCCTCCTCCTCTTCCTCTTCCTCTTCCTCTTCCTCTTCCTCCTCCTCCTCCTCCTCCTCCTCCTCCTCCTCCTCCTCCCCTAAGTCCTTCTCCTCCTCCTTCGCTGCGAGGAGCTCCGGCGCTGGACGCCGCCGCAGGCGCACTGACCGCGAACGGCGGTCGGCCACTGCAGGCCTCACGGCCGCCACCGCCGTCGCGTCGCCGCTGCGGCTGCGGCTTCCTTCTCCTCCCGAGACGAACAAAAAACGGCATGAACATAAACTTTCGGAGCTCCGCGCAGATTCTTGGGCCGGCGCCTGGGACCCCTTGGCTGCGCCTCCAGCGCCGCCCCTGGCGCACTCCGCGCGCCAGCGATGGGGGGGATCCACCGCCGATCTAAAGAATCCGCGGGAATCTTCGAAGGCTTTATGTTTGTGTCATTTTCGGTTCCCCTACTCCTTCCTGTATATCCGTGTTCTTTCTGGATAATGCTCCCTCGTCAGACCGCCAGAGGTGACAGTAAGGCGGGCCGGGCGTTTCGTTGAGACTTCAGTTTCCAAGAGTTGCAAATATGATTTCCGTAGCCATTTTGGCTCAAGGCTCAAACCTGTTCCTGGGGTTTGAACCTTGGTCGCTGCCGACGGGGAGGCTCGAGTTGCCTTCCAGGTGCTGTGACACTCTCTACTTCTTCTCTTTCCTTTCCCTGACCACGCTGCTGCTGCGATGCCTGCGCGTGGGGAGCGCCGCGCCGACAGCAGCCCGAGGAGATCAAAACCCTTCCTGTCTGATCGGAGCTTTTCCTTCTGCTCCTCTCGTTCGAAGAGCCGCTCTGGTCGTGACCGTGATCCTCGTCGGCCGCCTGCCGCCAGGACTCAGGAAGATAGATTTGACTTGATCATGTCGTCGCTCCAGGGTCTGACCTCTCAAGTGTCCTCTTCTGCCACCGACCTGGCCAAAATCAAGACGCAGATGGAGCTCGCGCAACTCCGCTGCGATCAGCTCACGTCGTCTATGCACACGATGGGTAACGACATCCACTCTCGCCTCTGCCAAATTGGAGGAGAGCACGCGGCGTCCTTCTCGGCCTTGCAGGAGAGAGGGGACAAATTTGAAACTCAAGTTTGCGGAATTGAAAGTACTCCCACTCCCACTAGCCCGAGGGACACGTCGCTCGACTCCTCCGTCCGGGTCAAGATCTCGAACACAAGCTTGAAAAACTCCTCTCGGCCGCCCTCCGACGCTCGCTCAGTCATTAGCGACCCCTCATCGGCCACAGAGAAGAGCCAGGATAACACCACCAAGCTGCTCATTCTGGGATTTCCGAGAAGAGCGTTGGCTACCACGCTACGCACTGGGGAGAAGCCGTACGCAAGCAGTTCGCACCGACGCACCTCCACCAGAAGATCACTATTAAGGCCTTCGACCTCACACGCAAAGTGGCCCTACACGCTTGAGACGGCGTCAGCTGCGAGTGACTTCCTGACCCAATTCGAGACGGCGTCTTTAACCACGCTGACCCGCTTTCATCTACACCTGTTTCCGTTCGTGTTCGCCGTGATATCGACACAACGCATCGTCAATTCTTTTTGTCCATGGGTAAGGTGAGGGCGGCCATGACAGACCTCCTCAAGCCCCGCGCGTTTGAGGTCGACAGCAGTGGTCTTGGAGGCTGCATCTACACGCCCAGGAAACCCAACGACCCTGTTGCCCTGGCCCAGCTTCGCACGTCGGCTGATGGGAACAAAGTTGACATGAAGCTCGAGCTGGGCGCCCTCCGCGAGTTCGGGATCTACCAGCATGCCGATGCTTTCCGCGAGGCGGCCGCAGTTCAGCTTCGGGCGCCCTTTCGGCGCTGAGGCTTGCTGTCTGACGCAGTGCACAGATGTTTTGCTTTTGCCTCCAGCGAACGACATTGGTGATGTTAGTCCTTCTCTCTTCCCCCTCCAATTTCCTGCCTTTTGCCCCTCGTGTGCCCCTGTCGTTGTGTAGCTGGAACACGCGCAGTCTCTTCGGCAGTGTTCGTGATGCGTCCTGGCGCTCTGGTGCCAGATATCAGGCATTCCTCTCTCTCGCCCGAAGGTTCCAGATTGCCTGCGGGCAGGAAACTCACGGGCATATCGGTGATATTGGGGAGCCCCTCAGGGAGCTGGATGGGCCCCGTCCTGTGCGCAACATTGGTTTCTCAATGTCTGAAGATTCTCAAGGTGAAGGTGGAGTGGTGACTGTCCTGGGCCCTCAGGTTGCCGAGATGTTCTCCGCGGCGCAACGTCAGGAGTTGGTTACTGGGCGCGTTCTTCAATCGACGCGCGTGGGCCCCTCAGGTAACCTCGCGATTTTCAACGTGCACCTCCCCAGCGCGGGTGACGCGCTTGCGGCTTGCATCTCTGTGTTGAGAGCTGTTCGTTCGGCGTGCGACGCCGCGCGCGAGTCTCATCCCATTCTGATCGGTGACTTCACCTTTGCGTTGGAGGAGGAGGGGGGATGCAAGGCGACGGCAGTGGTTGGTCTCAGGGTGATCGTCCACGCTCGCGCTTGTTTCGCCGTTTTTTTCCGACGATGACGGAAGTTTTTCAGAGGGGGTGGCACTTGGAGGGAGCTTGCTGGCGGTGCCATTGTCCGCGCTTCGAGACTGGATCGGATATGCGCCCCGTTACCGCAGGCATTTTTTGAGAGATTATGACATTCGCAGTGGGGTGGTTGGCGAGCTCATGCCGAAGTCTCCGAGCGACCGCATTCCTATCTTTGCTTTGTTCTCTCCGTTCGCTCCGCCCGCTGAATTCCCCGCGACCCCCGGGCATGTCTGCAGGCATCCAGGGGTTGCCGTCCATCCTGAGCAGTTGATTGCTGAGTTAGATCGTGATTGCCCGAATATCACGGCATGGGAACGTCTTGGCTCTATGGTGTCTCTCATGTTTGTCACGATGAAGCATGCTCGGGAACATATCAAAGCGATCTTTGCCGCTACGCTAGAGTTGAAGTACCACTGGGCCATGCGAGCCGTGAGAGGATTGAGATTCGGGAGGAAGGGGGTGATCATTGAAGCTCTCAGGGCCGACCCCACGCCCGGCATGCACTTCGACGTGTCGACATTTAGATGCACGAGCGTCGCTGGTCTCTGCTCTCTTATTCGTTCTATCCAGATGCAGTTGCTTGATCAAGAATTCATGGATATCGAAGATTTCGACTCCACCCCAGACACCAAGCATAACAACGAAGCCAGGGTTATTAGGTACCAAGATTTTTGGAGGCGCTTCCGAAGCCGTACTTACGTCACTTGTATGTATGACCCTGCTGGTGCCCCTTGCGACTCCCTTGAAGGCTCCGCTCAGGTTCTTCGTGAGTGTTGGTCCCAGGTTTTTTCCCCGAAGGAGCTCGACAGGTCTATGTGGCCTGAAGTTTCCGAGTATATCCACAAGATCCCTGAGCAGCTCCCCGTGGAATGTTAGCTCAGTTTTGTTCAGTTTTATGAGTATCTTAGGACGCGATGCTACAGCGTGCCCGGCCCTTACGGCATCCCGTGCGGAGCTTGGTCAGCACCGGCTGCTGCTCGCGCTCTTTATGAGATCTACCTCTGCATCTTTAACGAGAACGTCGCGTCTCTGCCGCCTGATACGTGTCATGGCCTCATGGTTTTCCACCCCGAGGGTAGTGGTGCTCGTGATAATGGCCCCGGTGTCTCCCGAGGTCCGAAAGAATCTCGCCCCCTTGGCATGTCGAGCACGGACGTAATACTACTTGCTGGTGCCATGTCCACCCCTCTTGCGGAAAACACAGCCATGCTCGTTTTTGCGGGCCAGAAGTGTTTGAACAACTGAGATGGTTGCCAGCGTCGTTGGCGCTGAGGCCTGGTGTCTAGAGCAGCACGTTCTTGCGAATGAGCAGGCCTGTCTCCTGCTCCGGGACTTTTGCGCGGCTGCCCCGTCGTTGGCTATCCCGTGGCTGCTTCGCGTGCTTCGCGAGATGGGTTTTTGCTCTCCTGTCGTCGACTTTTTCGCCCTGCTCTACCAGGGGCAGTCTATCACTGTGGTGCTGGGAGGAAAGAGGTTCGGGGGGGTCCTGATGGGCACGGGGGTGAAGCAGGGGTGTCCGTCCAGCACGTTGCTCTTCGTCTTGGCGGTGGATCCGCTCTTGAGATG